GGGGGAGAACCGGGGGGGGACACCCTGGAGATGGGGGAGAACCGGGGAGACACCCCAGAGATGGGGGAAAACTAGGAGGGGGGGCACCCTGGAGATGGGGGGGAAGCCTTGCTCTGGGTTCTGTAAGGTTGCATACATACGCATGAGGCCTCTGCTGCTTACATTAGGCACCCCCCCAGTACATACTGATGTACGTTCCACACACACACTCCCATGTGCTTATCTATAAACACATGTACACACTTACAACACACACCACATACTCATAGCACCCCCCACATATACATACTTATACACTGACACATGCAATCATGATACATATCTATATACATGCTTACACACATACATGCCTCACACATCACATACACACATGCAGACAGATCCATACGAGTATCTCTTCTTGCACATACACACACACACACACACACATCCACTCTCATATGTATCCCCCCATATACATACAAACACATATCCCATACTCACACACACACTCATATACTCTCACATGCACCTCCCCACACTCTGGTACTCTCATGCACACACCGTACACACATATACATACCTACGTGTGTGCACACAGTTGTTTATTTATATTCTGCCTGATGTGAAGCGCTTTGGGTTTTTGTAGGGAATTTACCATTGAAACAGAAGGGAAAACATTCCAGGTGACCAAGGACATGGTCAGCGTGCAGAGATTCCAGAAGACGCTTCACGGTGAGTGCCGATGGTACGGTCAGCGTCCTGGGGGCGGGACGCCCTTCCGCTGGATCTCTGAATGACCCAAAGGATGACATGCCCTCTCTTTAAAGGAGCAGGGAGATCCAGAAAGGGGGCGCCCAGGCTTGCTGGGCCCGGATCTAGGAGCCCTAGTCAGGCTAATTAGGCGGAGGGTTTCTTCCTAGCGCTGCTGGGGATGGAGCCAGAGCTTCCTATGATTACACGCTCTCTCCCCGAGCAGGACACCTGGGTTGTGGGCAGTGTGCCATCCGTAGCGGTATGGAGGGGATTGCAGATGCAGAAGGCGGGGGGCAGAGCTGCCAGCAGCCCCCCGGTCCCCTTTTCTTCAGTTAACGTTGTTCCCCAAGGTGCAGGACTGTCCCTTCCCCCTCCCCAGGACACCTGGGCGGCAGGCAGCACCTTGGGGCGGTGGTGGCCTTCTTTCCAAACCGGGAAGTGCCAGGGTGCGAGGCTCCTCAGGGACCGAGGCGGACCACGGTCTTCCTGTCCGCAGCCTGAGGTCTTGAGCACGGTTGTCTTTGACCCTTCCAGTTGAAGAGATTGTTCCAAACGTCATCGAGCCGTCCTTTGGTCTGGGCAGGATCATGTACACAGTGTTTGAACACACGTTCCGTGTTCGAGACGGGGACGAGCAGAGGACGGTAGGTCCTGGGTCTGGCTGCTTCAGTCCTTCTGCCGGAAGGGAAGCGCTCTGTCCCTGCGCGGCCCCATTCATCTGGATGAGTCTTTGCGTGGGAGTGGTTTTCTGTGTGTCCGTGTCTTCCTCTGTCCCGTCTATCCTCGGGGTCCATCATCCCTCGTCTCACTCGTCATCTGTCACCAGTGGCCTCCTCTCGGTCTCCATGTTTACCCCATCTCTGTCTCTGCCATCTCTCTGCCTCTTATCTCTGGGTTGTCTCCAGGTGTTAGCTGCATGCCTGGCACCCAGGAAGTGCTGAGTGAATGCCTCGCGCTGCCCAGCTGCTGGCGGACGGGCGCGGCTCCCTCTGCTTCTGGGTGCCGCGGGGCATTGGGGGAGGGGCGGTGGGAGGCTTGGGCCTTGGGTAGCTCACCCATTGGCGCTTTCTGACCTTCCTCCTCATCCAGTTCTTCAGCTTTCCTGCGGTCGTTTCTCCGTTCAAATGTTCCGTCCTCCCGCTGAGCCAGAACCAGGAGTTCATGCCCTTCGTCAAGGAGTTATGTGAGTGGGTCCAGCTGGGGCTCAGCAGGGTCGGGACGAATGTGGACGTGCGGGTGTGAGCATCTGTGTGTGTGTGTGTGTGTGCGTGTGCTTCTTTCTCCTATGTCTGTGTCGATCTTACTGGCCTGGACCAGGCTGTGGAGCATCTGAGGCATGACCGTGCTTAGCAGCTTCATTTTGGGGCGGCTCTAGACCACGCTGTCGCCTCCTTACTGTCTGTGGCAGCCCTTTATAGGGAAAGCCACTGTGGGTGGGGCCGTGGGGGACCACTGAGACGCGCCCGGACCAAGTCCAGAGAACCTGCTCGAGGTCCTTTTTAGCTCCTCTTAGTGCCCTGGTGTTCTACAGCGCAGAAGCCCTTCCCCCTTCTTTTACAGATGGGGAAACTGAGGCAGGGAGGGTCCCCTTGTAGCTGGTGACAGGCTTGGCTCGGCTCCCCTGAGTCGTAAGCTGGGGCGGGCTTCTCACTTCCTCTCCATGTCCCCTGACAGCCGAAGCCCTGACCAGGAATGGGGTGTCGCACAAGGTGGACGACTCTTCGGGCTCCATCGGGAAGCGCTACGCCAGGACCGACGAGATCGGGGTAGCCTTTGGGATCACCATTGACTTTGATACCGTGAATAAGACTCCGCACACGGCTACTCTGAGAGAACGGGACTCCATGCGTCAGATCCGCGCCGAGGTAGCTCTCTTCAGCTTTGCGTTGGGCTCAGCGAGGTCCGCTGCCTTTCTGCAGGGAACGTCACACCCCATCCGGTCGGGGGAGGGAGGCTGCGGACCGCGCGTTAGCCCGTTGTACAGACAGCGGTAAAACGCCAGCTGAGCGTATCTGAGGCTCAGGGCCGTGGGAGTCCTTGCTCCTGGAGGCTCAGCCGTGGGCCCAGCCGCGGGCCTAGTGGACAAGGGATTCCAGTCCAGAAGGCAGGAGGAGGGGCCTCCTGGGGGCTCCAGTGTAAGAGCAGAGAAGGTTGGAGAAGATGTAGGAAATGGGGAGGATGGGGGTGGTCCCAGAGGTGGAGGGGGCTGGGCTGGTGTGGGCATCAGAGGCAGTCTGCATGTAGTGTCGAGACTCTGGGGCTGAGTTAAGGGCACGAGACGTGCTCTGCCCCGTTGGCGGGGGTGGGGATTGGGCGGGGAGCGGGGGTGAGTGTGAGGCAGGCCAAGGAAGGCTGGAGCATCCAGGGGCGACCTTGGGGCGGGGCCCGGGGTCCCGGCTCTCTGCACAGGGCGCTGATGCGAACCTGTCCTTCCCTTTGCCTCAGATCACTGACCTTCCCAAGGTCGTCTGCAGTTTGGCCAACGGCTCCATCACTTGGTCTGACGTGGAAGCCCGCTACCCGCTGTTTGAGGGGCAGGAGACGAGCAAGAAGGACACCATTGAGGACTAAGACTGGCGCGTCGTTTCCTTGTCCTGCTTACGCCAAAAACCCATGAACTTGTATCATGTGACTGTCTGTGCCGGAGCGGGGCGGGATCTTAGCCCGACACAAATGACGATTAAATTAAAGGTTGCACATAGCTGAGGCCGCCTCTGTCTGCTTGTTTCCGTACAGCTGCCCTCTGTCCGTCTGGCCTCGCTTGTGGTGCTCAGTGGGCCTCCCTGCCGCGTGAGACAGGCCCTCCCCCCCCGGGCATTCATCAGACCGCTTGTCTGCGTAAGGGCATCTCGTCTTTCTTTGTAAAAACCATCCTCATCACAGGAAGGCTGTTGTTTTCCCCAGAGAGCCTTCAGGCCTCTGGGCAGACAGCCAGGCTCCTCCAGCTGCTGCCCCTGGTGCCCCCCACCCCCTGGGGCCCAGGCTGCTTGTTCCTGCCCTCCCCACCCCGGGGGCTCAGCCATCCCCCAGACCTCCATCTCAGGGAAACTCTCACCCCTGTGTTGCCGCTCTGCCCCTCTCTGGGTGTAGGAAGGATGGCTGGGCCTCGGGTGGGGAGGTGGGTGTGGGCGTGGCCCCTGGGCTGCTGGGCTCCCTTGCCCTGTGGCTGGTGTGATTGACCTCGATCTCGTCTGACTGACACAGACGGAAGACATCCCCCCGCACCGTGCTGTCCGAGGCTGGCCTTCCGCCTCACAGCTTCTGCCCTTCAGCGTGCCACCAATCTCTGGGCCAGCTCGGGGAGTAACGTTCTTACCACGTCCTCCCCAAGCTTCCGGCCTGATTGTTTTGTGGTTCCCCGGTCCAGGGCAGTGAAAGACGTGATTCCCTGTGGGCGGCATGACTCTTGGGCCCGCAGGGTTTTCCAGGACATGAGTTCGAGGCCTTGGCCATTGCTTTTCTCCCCATGACATCGAGGGATCGGATGAGATGAGCCCCAAGGCCCTCTCCTTCTCTGACGGTCTGTGGTTGTGGACTGGTGGTCTTGGAGAGGCTCTGGAGTCCGTAGACGTCTGCCGAGTTGGCTCCTGACTGCCCCAGGCACACGCAAGGTGACGGGAGTGAGGAGATGTCTCTGGCCTGAGAGTGGGTCTGTTGGGTTTTCCTGGGAGTCCCTTCTTCTGGGGAAGCTGAGACCAGGAGCCTCAGGCCGTCCAGGGTGGGGGGGGGATCTTCCCAGGCTTGGGACCAGGGAGGATGTGGGCTGCTTGGGGCGACGGAGAACCCTGATGGCGCCTCCTGTCCTCCCCACTGTGTGCCCACAGGGCTCATGGGGCGGCTCAGCCGCCCACAGGCCACTGAGTGGTGACTAATTGTCGGCTGAGAAGCAGGGGCATTTCTGTCCCTGTCACCACTCGTGCCACGTTTGTCCGTCAGGCCGTGTTTGTACTTGTTCCGAGTCCTAACTTTGCTCTCTGGGCCGCTGGACGCTTTCCCTCTTGGCCTTTACATGACTTGTATGTCTAGTGCGATGGGTTGGGCTGACGAAGGCTGGGATGCATCACTGCATCACGTCCTCTTTCTGGTCCTCTCACGGTGAATGCTGGGAGGAGCCCCTCCCCCGGGCTCGGGGGACGTGCTCAAGATTCAGACAGTAGAGGGTCTGAGCTTCACAGCCTACTTAAGTCAAGCAGAGACAAAGCCCAGTCTGGCATGTACTGGGACTTAACCGCGGTGTTGCAGGCCAGGCTTTTATGACAGATAAGACTTTTGTTTTGGGGGAACTTGGGGGGCTGGTATCTTACTAAACTGAGCAAGGGAACGGAACGACTTTCTCCCCAGAGATGAGACCTGCTTATGTGTCTCCCAATACCTGGGCCTGGTGGTAGGCACTCTCAGAGATGTCTCTGATCTTTGTGAAAGGAATTTTTGAAATCTTTGTGGAATAAAGAATTAAAGTAGACCAATGCATGTCTTTCCCCTTACTGGCCTATAAACTCAGTGTTTCCTAAGCCTTACTCTGTGTTCCTAAGACAGGGAGTCACTTCGTTGTAAGGGGAAGCCAACTTTGTTTTAGCTGTCTGTCTGCAGAAGCCAGTAGCAGGGTCTCTGCTGACCCTGTCTGCGGCCAGTATAAGTGACACAGCCATCAGACAGCCTCTCCCCCTGGAATGAAGTAGACTGGGACGTTCTGTTACTTGGTGGATGACTTTGCATCGGGGAACTTGGCTCTTGTGGCCCATGGGTAATTGTCTGGCACTGCCTGCATTACCTTAAAGCTATGGTTCAGTAGAATGTAAGCCCCCTGGGGGTAGGGCCTGATTCTCACTGTCTTTGCTTTGGAAGAAGTGTAACTTGGAAACTTGAACCAACATGGGCATGGAATGGAACGGAAGTCTGCTGTGGGGGAGGCTGTAGAATTTCTGGCCAGAAGATTCCCTTGTGGCCTCATTCTCTTGCAGAGGCGGGACCACCCCCTCCCCAGTCTGTCCTCTTCTCACCTTGAGGTTGGGGCCTCCTGGGAAACCAGCCATCCCAAGAGACCACCTAGGTACACAGGTGTCTTGTATTTTTAAATGCATGATGAAGGATATCACCTTTCCTAATCTGTGGTCACAGTAATAATTTAAAAAGTTTGCGGAATCAGTGCTAAAAGTGCATTGAGTTCAACCCACAGCAGGAAGATGTACCAAGCAGCATTTTGGTGTGGGAGGAGCTGAAGACCTGAGAAGGGCTTTTAGCAAGAAGGGGGCCTGCTGATCTCAGCCCAGGTTTTCAGAAAAGCTGAATGCTCTGGTCTTGTTCTTGTATGACTCCATGTCAAGATGAATGTGATGCCCTAATAAACCTTGACCATCTCTCAGACTTTCATTGGTCTTTTTGTGAGTTTTCCCTGGGGTGCTCCCCATCCCCATCCAGCTCAGAACCCCCCGGGGCTTTCTCTCAGTGTCATCTTAGTGATGGAGCTGTGCACAGGGAGTGAAGCTAAGAGAACACAAGGGAGGGTCATTGGGGCCTTCTCTGCTCTGGGAGTCAGAGGTTCAGGCACCCCGCTGCGGTGTGCAGATAAAGGCCCTGGAACCCCTTCTTGGAGTCGCTCCTCAGAAGCTGGATCTATGTTTATATCATCTGAGAAGTGGGGGTGACAGCAGCACCTGCTTCCGCGGGTCAGGGACACTCCCACGAGGGGAGCCCTTTACCAGCGTTGGCTAATGATTGTTGCTAATCTGGGCAGATTCAGGGTCCAGCAGGTAGGACCTCACCCGACCTATCAGTCTGCTACACAGAACCATTCTGTTAGAAAACACCCATTTGTGTCTAGCCCAAACCCCCTCTTCTTCTAAGCCTTAATTTAAGTTCTTTTAAGTGCTTGCTTTCCTTGTGAGTGGGATGGAGTGATTGGGCCAGGTCGTCATAGAGTCGGGGTCTCAGGCCAAGGGAATCCTTCAGAGGGGAAGACGGATCTTAGAAGGGGTCAATGGATGCAGAAGACGGGGCCTGGAATCCTCATGACGACTCAGACCACAGGAACCAGGGTGTTTCTGTTTGTCCCGAGATGGCAGTCACTGAGCAGGAATGTTGTTTGTCTGGTACCTGGCCGGTCTCCTCCAAGGGCCTTCGACCAGCAGCAGCCACGGGAGAACAGCCTGGATCGTCTCACTAGGCTGCCTACTACGGGGTGGCTGCCGTGTTGCACAGGGCCTACCGAGTAGAAGGCACTTAATAAATGCTAATCAAATGAAGCCCAGCAACAGTAGGGATGTTCAGAAATCCACAGGAGGCAACATTCAAGGGATCCAGAAAAGCCAAGTGCAGCCCCCTGGCCTCAGCGTTGATATCTGAATGCCTAGCCCGCGCCAGGTGAGTGCGGATCCTCGGGGGAGGGGAGGAGGCACCCCTGCCCCCCGGCCGACCAGAAGATGGCGCTGTTCCACGAGCTTGTGAATTCAGAAGACAGCACGAGCGTGTACGAGGTGACGGGCGTGCAATGCTTTAGGACATGGATGAGGGGATGAGGGAATCACGGGGAGGGAACCAATGAAGAAGCCTCTGGGGACCGGGGGGGGGAGGGGCTGGAAGTGGGAAAGCCGCAGCAGCCCAGGAGGCAAAGGGATCGTCTAGCGGCAGCCTTTTCTCAAGCTCAGAACGGCAGGATCTGTACAAAAGAGCTCCGCGACATCTGGTCCGAGCCACGGCCAAAAGGAATGGCTCGCCTGATGATGGCGTGAGCTGTAACCTGGAGGTCACCAAGGAGGGCAGGCCCCCCACCTGCACGGCACCCCCACTGACTTCCAGCCTGACCTGGCCTTTGGGGCTTTTCCCCTTCCTTCCTGGTTCTGCCCTCTGGGACAGAACCCTCTTCCAGAGCCACAGACCTTCTAACCCTTAAGATAGGCTCCCCCAAGTGTTCTTTGGGCAACTGATGGGGTTGTGGATAGAGACCTGAGTTCAAATCTAGCCTCAGACGCTAGCTGTGAGACCCTGGGCAAGTCATTTCACCTTGGTTTGCCTCAGTTTCCTCATCAGTAAAATGTAGATAATAATAACACCTATCTCCCAGGGTTGTTGTGAGGATCAGATAAGATCATATTTGTAAAGCACAGTACCTGACACGTGGTAGGCACTGTGCAAATACTATTGTCAAGTTTGTAAAAAGTGCTTAACATAGTGCTGGGCACCTAATAGGTGCTATATAAATGTTTATTCTCTCACTTCCCACTAGAATAAACACCCAGTTCCTCCATTTGCTTCTCATATAGATAGATTCCAGGTTATTCACCATCCTGGTAGCCCTGTGCTGGGCCCTTTCCGGCTCACTAGTGTTAGCCAGAATTCTCCAAATGTGGTCTGACCAGGGCAGGGGTCTAAGGGACTATCCCCTACTTATTCCTGAGTATATGCTAGGATTGAATGGTCGTTTGGCTGTCGTATCACCCTGCTGACCCACCTGGAGCTTTTTAAGATGCACTGCTGTCTAACCATGCCTCCGCCATCTTGTATGTGGGATGCTGACTTTTTGAACCAAAGTATGACTTTGCATTTGTCCATACTGAATTCTAAGATTCACCCTATTGCTCTAAGTAGCCAAGATCTCTTGGGATCCTGACTGTCCTCCAGTGTGTTAGCCATCACTCCCAACTTTGATTAACCTGCCATCTGTTCCTTCATCCAAATTACTGATAAGAATATTACAACTCATCCCGGGG